TTTGACTGTGTTATTCCTGTTGATTCATGTCGATTTACGGCGGGTCTCGAAGCGGAGGCCTCTGGAAAACAATCGCAGCTTTGGACAGCGTTTTTCCAATTTTCCAATTTTTAGTCAACATCGGTCCCTTCGCACTTGATAATTGCCTGAACAGGTGTGAAATTTTGAAAAGGGAAAAGAAAAAGCGCTGATGAGCAGCGAGCATCGAAACAAAGTATTGTTGAACTTTAAAGAAAACGACAGAAAATAAGCGGTATTTTCGAATAACAACAGGGTAACAAATAATAGTAGTAGGAACAAAAAACAAAGGAATCAAGGGGGAAAAAAAGATGATTACTCCTGCATTGGCTCTTCATCAGCACTCTCTGCTGCCTCTTTCATCTCCTCGTCGTCGAATTTCAAGTCTTCAAGCATTTCAGCCAGTGATGGGGCTTCTGGATGATCATCGTCGTCGTCTCCATCAACATTTGGTGCCTTTTCAGCGTCCTGAAAATCCAAAAATTAGCCATAGAATCTTATTTCTAGTACCTTATAGATATTAATCTTCTCTCTCATCAACGCATCCTCCTCAATATCCTCCATGAATCCTTGGAATTCGTCGGCAACTGACGCTGTCTCATTTCCAACAATATTTCCGTCGACAACCAATCTCTTCAGCTTCCATTGACGTTTTGCGGTACGGCGAGTACGGTCGAATACCTTTCTGACGATGATTGCGTCTGGGATGTTGTCAATTTTCATGGCGTCGAACGTGGCGTTGTTCACATTGCAGTTCTTCATGTCGAATGCTGGAAAAATCAGTTTTCAGCCGTTAAATTCCTAAGAAAAGCCTAGTTTTCTTTGTTTGAAATTCGGCTAATATAGAGTCAGAAAATTCAGTATTGGTGCCTGAAAAAACATCTTTTCCGATTTTTTGGAGCTCATTCTGGCTCCGAAACTGAATTTTTCATCCCTAGAATGACCGAATTTAAGACGAAGAAGTCAGAGTTTCTTTCGAATCGTCAGTTTCTATTAATCTTCAATACTCACCCATAACCAAATCTCCTGGCGATAGCAAATGTCCCAAATGAGTTCTCGCATAGAGTGGTTGAGCATCGGACATTCCAACTTGATCACTTCTCACCAACCATACATTAGCCAATTCGTGCTTCTTACTGACGTATCCATGACCTGCTTTTCTCTCAAAATTATCGATTGGATCCACTTCGAGAACGTAGAACTCGGTGAGCTGTTTCGGACCGCACAGCGACTCGAATGGCTCTCTCCAGAAGTTGGTTCTGCAAAAATTGAATTATCTAATGAGGATTTGTGATCCAAACTGCATGAATTTTTAGGTTTTCTACTCCATAATCACTAAGTGCTGCATAGATATCTCGAGATCTTTCTCACAGATTTCCAAATAGAAATGCCACTCACGCCTGCACATCAACCAGCTGTAAATTGCTTGGATCAATCAATGTGATGACGTTGGAGACACGAAGACACAACAGAATCTGTGACATATTTCCCAGTTGTTGAGCTTGTTTTTTGGGAATACACACGATGTTGTCACGACAGATTGGGACGATTTCCACACAGAATGTATGCTTGTAGTCGTATGTGTTGTTCTTGGTGTCGTGAGAGACGAGTTCCTGGAAAAATGCTTCTAGAAACTTCCAGAATATTCCCAAAATTCCTACCTGTGCATAATGATACTTGCATGGCAACACTGTCATTAGGAAATTGACAAATGTCCTTGCTTCCTGTTGTTTCGCGAAAAAGAAGTCGATTCCAGTGGGCACTGGCTTCACTCCAGTGCACTCTTTGTGCGCGGAGTGCTTCAAAAGAAGCTGTTCCAGATAGAACAACGTCTTCTTGAATTCAGCACGTTGACGGACTTGAACACAAGCACGCCAGAAGTCTTTGGCTTCTGCACGACGACAATCATCGCACAACTGACTGTGAACAGTGAACTCAACAACAACGGCTTGTTGAAGAATTGTGTTAGTGAAGACTTCCTTCTGAATTGTGATCTTGACTTTGATACGTTTCGAGTGAGCTTCAGTCCAAACGAAGCACGCGTCGGTGAGGCGGACCTGTAAGTTCGGACTTTTGATATTAAAAAGAAACGGATTTTTCTGGAACTTACCTTCGTAAGCATGGGTTTCAGCTTTTTCAGACAAATCGACAACAATTCCTTCGACTCAAGCTCCGCCCTCATCCACGCACTCGGTGGAACGAAGTAACGATCACAGAATTTGCACATGTAGATTGTGCCTGCAAAGAATAATATATTTGTTGAATTTCTAGTGAATTCGGCATTTCCCTTACATTGTTTAGTGATTCCTTCTGTGATATCTACCCTTGAGCGCAGACAACCACTGCACATGTTCGCCGGATTCGGCTCAATCGCCACACCGCATTCGCAGCACGCGATTAGACCAACTGTCGGTTTTATGTCCAATGATTGCATGTTTTGGCTGAAAATCTCAAAAATTTGACGAATTTTGATAAGGTTTGAGCTGATTGATTGAGGAAAATAGGAGAAAAATGAAAAATTGTGAAATAAAATGTGACTCTGCAAGCTCGCTCTGCTGGACTCGCCGAGGAATTTTGCGAGGGAAATTCGAAAAAGGACTTGTTTTGTCATCATTAAAAAACATATTTTTCCATCATTTTCATGAAAAATTTATTTCATTTAACAGAAAAAGCTGAAATTGAGATCATGCAATAAATAAATAAATACTTTGAGTGAGGAAGGGTGCACTAAAATGAGAAAAATATTAAAAAATGAGAAGAATTAGTTAGTATTGGAAAGCGCACTCCTTTGCATTCGCTTTGCGAGTCGAGCCTTTTGAAGTTTGTACAGGACGTTTCCAGTGTCCGACTCGTCGGCACGATGTCGGGTGTATCCGTCGGCAGCGTGTCCTGAAGACACCCCGGTCGCATTGATCATCATTCGAGCGTTCGACATAATCCGATCGTCGTCGTTCTTCGTGTTCAGCACCGTCGTGACTCCGTACTCGTAGAGATTCTTGACCTCTTGGAATGCGCCAATCATTGTATTCAGACGATGAAGAAGCATTCCGATGGTTTGAACGAAGAGAATGATTAGAAGGAAAATGACAATTCCCATTCCAAGCGGATCTATCTTCAGTGGCTCGTCAGTCGTCTCAAATTGTCCCGTCATTTCGTTCATTTTCGTCCACTTGAATCCCTCTGCAATTATAAAAAAATTATAAGGGCCTTAGCATATGTATAACTCACTATGTGGCACATATTTAATACTCAAGACATTCTTATGTCGCTGAATGAGAATAATAGCCAGTGCCAGAAGAGCATTAACTAACAGAATAGTAAAAGCAATTTGATTCCGAAGCGAAGCCAGCCCATCAGCAACCTCTTTCATCTCAGCCGGCGTGGTTTTGATTGGTTTCAGATACGTTTCAATCAGCTCATTCCAGAAGGTCTTCTCCGCTGCTTTTAGCTTTCCACGCTCGCAAACTTTCAGATTGTGGCTTGTCATCCAGACGTAGCGATTCGCCTTCTGTAACGCCTTCTTTTGCTTTTCTCCCTCCGCCACTGGAAGATCTGTGGATGTCTGTGTCTCTTCAGTGCGCTGCTCTTTCGGCTCATCCTCATCTAGAATCTTCTTTACGTCGACTCCATTCTCGATATTCCTCAAAGCGAATTCCATCTTCTGCATCTTCTTCACCCTCTTCTCCTCATGCTCCTTCTTCTCCCGACAACTAATCAATCTAAATCCCTTCTTCAGAAGGGCAACGACAGCGTCGATTGCCTGTTCCATAGGCGCCTTCTTCGTCTTCTGTCCAGTTGCCTTGGCGACAGCTTCACGTGTTCCCCAGGTGATGACGTTCAAGTTGATCAGAGAATAGAGGGTTAAGAAGACGTAGGTGGAGGGAATCATGAGGAAGAAGACGATTCCATGGATGATATTCGTGAATTCTTTGGGATGAAGACACGCGGCAAAGAAGAAGATTCCGACCATGGTGACGATGAAGAGGGATGTAGGAGCGACGACAGCTGAAATCAAATTTTTAGAAAACGAGGCGAATTGTGAAGAAACAAACTTTCTAGAACAATCTGACTGCTAGTAGCAACGAGTACCGCTAACATAACGAATGCATATGCAATGGACATGTACTTGGCGTAAATCAGTTGAATATTGGACTCAGTAGTGAAGCATAATAGAATAAAAAGTCCAATTGGAATGATATTATACCACATCACATCGTTTCCATTCAGTCCAAAAGCAGCCACTTGAGCAAAGACCAACATAGTGAAAATGATAGCAGGACCGAGCATTGAGAAGAAGATCACCAGGAATTGATAGGCTATGTAGGCGTACGAAATGGCGTCGTTATTCTCTGAAGCTCTCTTGTAGTCCATTAGCAAGTCGACTGTGTTGGCTATCGAGGATGGTGTCCAACGTCTTCGCTGGTTGAAGAACTCTTCGAATCCTTCAGGAGCATAGGTCTCGGCATCAGAAGCGGCGGCGTACTCGATACGGTATCCTTGTTTTAAGAGTAGGGTAGACAACCAACGGTCCTCTCCCTGATCGTATTGAACGTAGTGACGAGGTTCGGAGGCGGTTTTTGTGTATTTGTGCATGATATTATCATCCATTAGGGCGGAAGCACGGAAGAGGGAGAAGCATCCAGGAGCACAAAGGACACATCCGAAGACGTGTTCTGCCGCTTTTTGGAACCAATGGGCAATGGCGTACTCGAACTTCTGATACCAAACCATAATTCCGTTGCCGATCGGGTGAATCCGTCCACAAGCACAACCAATGTCACTTTTGGCATTCATCAAGTGTAGAAGACGTAGAAGAGCATCTGGTTCGAATTTGGAGTCTCCATCGATAGCCAAGATGAAGGTGTTGTCAGCCATTTGTTGTCGATCTTCAATTGAAAGGGGGCAGTCCATGATTCGATGACCAAGAAGATAGTACATATACATCACTTGACTCCATCGTTTCTTGTGTCGAATCATTTTCTTATCCTTCAAATGTACGAACAGCAGAGTTCCAGATGGAAGCTTGACCACTAGGCGTCCACCATATGGGGTGTTGACCAGAATTCTCGTCTCCATTTTGCCCTCCTCATTCAATTTCTCGCCTGTCATATCGTTCAAAAGATCAAAGAACATGTTAAAGTACTCATTTGGCTGTCGTTTCTCCATTCCATCCTCCACGATGTCTTCCCAGGCGTCGTCGAAGAAAATGTGGATTTCCAGACGGTAACGAAGCTCGTTGACCTTTTTATTATTCATCCGGGTGGCATGATCAACGTCGAGCTTCAGAATGCTTCTCATCACTTGACGCATCTCGATTTCTGTCTCGTGCCACATGGTAGCACATCCGTAGACTGTCGAGACCCTATCAACCTCGTCGTTTCGGATTCTCAACTCATCGTTCTCGTCGATGACGTCCTCGTCTTCAATCACCATTGTTTTCTCTTGACGATTCAGCGAATGTTGGAAGATCACAAGAGACTGTTCAATGCAGAGACCATTGCACACTGGTGGCATAGATGAGATTCTGCAAAAATTATCATATAAAAAAAAGACGTCGTGCTTACTTACATCTCCTCCGTGGTATCGAAATACCTCTGCCGAACCAGCCGCCATCCTCTATAGCATCCAACCGCCAACCAAATGAAACAAATGTAGTAGTCCGGATGCGTGGATCCTTGATGATTCTGGAACCATTGATCGCAAACCCATCGGAGACCGAATTTCGCTAGACGGCGTGCAATCCAACATGTCGGAGATTGGCAGGCGTAGCGAACGTATCCATAGGCAAGTAGGGGAGCAATAGATAGTGGATGGACGAATGAGAAGGGGTGGAGGTCCAAAGCGGCGAGGAATCGGGAGATGACACGCATAACGGAGTGGAGAGTGATGATGCCGCATGCCAGGAGCAGAAGCAGTCTGAAAGAACATCGAGCTACTGAAGTTTAAAAAGCTTGAAAACTCCCTTACGTGTAATTTTGCTTCGTGCTGAAACTGAAGAACGCCTTCACAAAATGCGACGCGTTGAGTTTCGTGTGACCGTTCATGAACACTGCGGCAACCTGGAAAAACCCCCATATTTCTCATTTAAACCTCTATTTTCACCCCTTACCATCACAGAAACAGTACAAGCAATACGCATGAACGACACCGCGAAATTCGTCGTGTTATTCATCTTGCGAACAGCATATTTCAGTCGATAGAGCTCATCGTACGTGGTGCCAGCGTGTGTGGTGTCGATCCATGACTCCCAGAATCCGATGGAAGTGCAAACGATTCCGATGGGGAGAGAGATGGTGGCAGTGAACTTTCCGTCGAATAGTGTCCATACATAGCAACTAGACATCAGAATCAGAAACATGATGACGTGGGGAACAGCCAGGAAGCAGCGACCGAGTCGATTCTTGAAAGAGCGTCCAGCACGAGCGGCAGACACCATTGCGACTAGCGATCGCTGTAAAACAGCTACCAATGGGAAACAAGCGCTGAGAACCAGGCATCGACCGAGATCCAACTGAGGGAATACGTGGAAGCTGAGAACGGCGAGACCAACGGCACGAAGGGCTTCGAGAACGACTACAGATCGAATCAGCCGCCCACATTGTCCTTTGTACATCTCAAGAGCCGATCGAACGAGATTTATTGTGTCGGGAAAGCATTGGATGAGAAGGAGGGATAGATAGATTCCGGCAGTTGTTGTAGACGTTCGACGAACTGAAAATAGTGATTAAAAACCATTTTTTTAGAAATTTAAGCAAAATTCTTACCAATAGCTCTCGAACACTTCCTCGAGAATTTTCCGATGAGATGAGTTCGCGGTAGAATGTTAGTTGCCATGATGAGCACGATGAGCTTCGAGAACACGGATCCCAGGGTTAGTATGACATTGCAAATGGCGAATAGAAGGAGCTTGGTTCCTTGCAACGCGGTTATCATCCATGGTGAGAGTGTCGGACCTTCGCTGGCGGATCGTTTGTGCGAACGAAACGCATTCCAGTAGTTCTCCCCATCGTTCATTGTTGAACGAGGAGGAAGTGAGGGATCGAGACGAGATTAATGCCGAAATCGACTGTTTTTCGGATTTCCGCGGGCTTTGTTTCAATGCTCAAAGTGTTTTTAGTATAATCTGCAAAGAAAATAGATCAATTTTAGTGAAGAAATGATGAAAAATGATTGAAACGCGCGGCTTTCCTCTTAAAATCGTGTCGAGACCCTACCGAGAAACCATATGCTCCTTTAAAGGACTACTGTAGGCTGTAAAAAATTTTGTGAGTTTCTGTGTCATATCCCAGGTAAAAATAGAGATCAAAAGGGTTTTTTCACAGAATACAAATCAAAACAAATTAAAAATTACAGAGAAAAAAACAAAATTATTCATTCTTCATCTTCCTCGTCGTCTCCAAACGACAAAAGGCCCTTCTGGACCTTCGGCGCTGGCTCATTCTTCTTTTTCTTCTTTTCAGCTTCCTCATCAGCATCATTTCCTACTTGTTTTACAGGCTTTTTGAATGTAATTTTGCCCTCGGCGATTAGTTTATCTGGAAAAATAGAACTTGAAAAGATCAGAAAACTTTAAAAAATTACCTCCTTCTTCTTTTTTCTTCGCCTCCAACTCTTTCGACAACTCCTCCTTCGTCAAATCCGTCTCCTCGTTCAACACCACCACCTGTGGCCGATCCTCCTCTTTCATTCGCATCAGATCCGTTTCATCGTCGTCGAAATCTGCTGGGCCTGCTTCATCGTCGAACTGAAAATTCAAAATTTAGAATAAATCAATCATTTCTGTTAAAATACCCACTTTGTCTTCCAATTTCGCCGGCTCCTTATATCCCATCTTTGCCTTTATCGCCTTAATAAATGCCGGCTCTTCTTGCTCGACAAAGTGAAGATTTGCCTGGAAATACATTTTTAAGAAAGAGTATTTTAGAAAGAAATCCGACTTACTTTGTCTTTGTAAGACATTGACGATGATTGACCTCGTTTTGACATTTTTTGAGCTGAAAATGCCTAAAAAAGGTTCAAAAAAAAATAGTACAAGCCGAAAAGTGCAAGCCGAAAAGTTGTGTTGTCCGCAAAGTGTCGTAAAGTGTTGGGTTTTCCTTTTAGCGCCGGTTCAAAAACAGTTTTTTTCCCCTATTTTTCAAGTTTCCTACCGAATTTTCATCGATTTTCAACTTTAAAAGATTCTTTTTTTTCGCTAAGAGTGCTTGTCCATCGATTCTTTTTTCTCTCATTTTCCATCCAATCTTCGAAAAATAATTAAAAAATATTATTTATTTCGCATAACAATTCCCTCCTATTCTTTTGAAAGATGTTTGTCGTTTCTTTGTTTTTCCAAAATTTTTGTTTTCGTTTCTTCTCTCACATGATATATCTGGCTCCTAATTCCTCGGGAGCCCCTTGTCGCCTATTCCTTTCATTTGTTTTGTTTGTATTAGTTTGAAAAATGCCAAAAATTTGATAAAAAAATGAAAAGAGTTTTTTTTCAAATTTTTAGATTCTTTTGTGATTTTAGACATTTTGAAGAATTTTTAAAAGATTTCCGGGATTTTTGTGAAATTTCTCAGAATTCTTGGGATTTTCGGAATTTGTGGAAATTAGAAGGGTTTTTGGAATTTTGAAGATTTTTCGGATTACTTGAATTTTTAGAATTTTTGGGTTTTCCAGGTGTTCTAGGACTTTTGAAAATTTTAAAGGATTTTTGGAATTTTCTGGAATTCAGTATTTTTCGGATTCATGGGATTCTTGTGTTTCAATATTTCAAAAATTTTCAGAATTTCGGTTAGTTTCAGAATATTAAGATATTCGTAGATTCTGAAGACCTTCAGATTCTCGATTACTAGTTTTTCACTTCCAGAGTTTCCACCTAAAAATTGCCACGTGGAATCTGGAATTTTTTCCTTCTCCAAATCCCTTCCTCTCTTCTTTTGTCTCCAATTATTATTCTGCTGTTAGTAGTTTTTGTGTTTTGGAACGATGAGGAGGAGAAGAGTGAATTCATTCACCCCTCCCGCAACAAGTCAAAACACTTTTCTCTCTCTCTCTCTCTCTCTCTCTCTCTCTCTCTCTTCCCACATTATCGCTCCTTCTTCGTTTCCTACTTCTTCCCTGCTTCTTCTCATTGTGTTAGAAAATCAAGAAGATTGGGAAGAGAGGGAAAGAAGAAAGATAATGATGATTGCGGCGTGTCATGGAAAGAATACATCTATTCTGAATTCTGACAGTTTTAGAATTCGAGAATTCGAGAATTCAGAAATTGGGTGGTCGAGTTGATTAATGTAAAGCACGGCATAACTAACGGACATTTTAGGAAATTTATTTTGTAGAAGGTTGGAATCCAGGAATTTAGAATTCGAAAAATCTGACTTCCGAGAAATCCAAGTCTGAAGCTACGTGGGCGTCTGAGATGATTGCAAAACAAGTCGATCGTCAAGCATTTTCCAGAATTTTCTGACTCTTTCAGACCTACTTCTGTTCGAGAATCCACGTGGCAGAAAATGCAGATTTGATTTTTTTTTTTGAAGTTTTAGCTCAAACCGTTTTCTTTGAAAAAATGTCACACAGATTTTCAGCTTTTTTGTCTAAATCCCGGAAAAGAAAGAAGAGAAATACCGGCGACCGTGGCCGAATGCCCCACAAGGCAGACTACAGTAACCTAAAAATTTCTTCCGGATCTCATGTGTTTTCAGCAAATGAAGAAAACAGGAAAATCGCGATAACAAGTTCGGAAAATAAAAATATTTTTAGATTACTGTAGTTGTCATTGTGGGACCTTCGGCCACTACCCGTTGTACCAGAATAATAAAATATAAGTTTGCTATCATGCGCCTTTGAAAGTACAGTACTCGTATTTCTTGAAAATTCGATTTTCAGCCTTCTGAAATCCGCGAATCTTCCGGAATTCTAGATTTCTAGATTTCATTCCTTCATCACGCCATCACTTCAATTCTTATGATTCTGATATGAAAAAAGAGAGAGATCAAAGGTTTTTTACTGATTTTTGATCGTGCTTCCCATTCTAGACGTCTTCTTCTTCTTCCTTTTTTTTCGGAAAAAAATGAAGAAATAACTAAATTTTTCTCCTTTTTTGTCTAATCTTGTTAAGAATGTATGCCTTTTTTACTCGCTTATCTATTATTCGGTTTCGTCAGAAAAAAAACACATGAAATTTGAATTTTCGGAAGGACTCAAGTTTCGGAGTTTCGGAATTTGTAATACTCGAAGCTCCGCCCACTGAACATGCTCTTTGAATTGTAGAAAATCAAGAGCCGAGGCTCCGCCCACTTCACCGAAGCCCCGCCCCTTTTTTGGTCGAGTTGTAATAGCATAAAGAATTAGAAAAATCAAGAAATTTCTAAAATTGGCTCCGCCCACTGTTCTGAAGGTTTGCTGGGATAGGTTAACAAGGATCGACTAAAAGTCTTGCCATAGGCTCCGCCCACTTTTGCCACTTTGGGAGTTGTACAACAACGAAGCAACTGAGCACCTGACTTTTCGAATTAGGCTCCGCCCACTTCTCCTCTCACTGTTTGGGATGGAATATGATGTTCTTGGGTGTCTCCACTGACTATAATTCTTAAGCTCCGCCCACTTTTGCCACGACGAAATGCGAGAAAATTGTGGAAGCGTGTTGACCCTATGAGCTGAATGATTAGGTTAAGAGACTAAAAGAATGAGGTCTCAGGGAGGTTAAGCTATCCACGCTGGCATCAGAGATGGCTGATGAAGCGAAAAACCTTTTTTTTTTGTTCTCGTCAGTTTACTGGAAATTTCGGTCCCATCTCGGTGAGTCTCTAGGTTTAAATTTGTCTGGAAAGTCTGTCTGTGAGTCGGTGTGTCCAGTTTCTCGGAATTCAAAATTTTAGGTGATCAGCAAGAATCACAAATAATAGTTAGACAGACAGTGGGAGGAAAAGATGTTTTGAGTATAAAAATGCATATAGAGTGTAGACGGGACGGAGGACACACTTCTTTTTTCCGCATTTTTATTCGTAGTTTTCTTGTCAGCGCTGTTTTCTCTAGCCGACCCTCCACCATTTTTAATACTATTTCTCGGATTTTACACCATCTCCCAACCAACTAACCACACCGCCCGTCTCATTTTCATTTAATCGGGTCGACCCCTCGGCTGGACACCTTTTTTCTGGTACTTTCCAGAAAGGCTCCATTCTCTAGACTCCGCCCATTTGTCCACGCCCATCAAGCCACGCCCATCAAATACTCACAAACGACCAATTTTTGCTCCATTTTTTTTTAAATTTCAAAGCTCATTGAGCCAATTTCCTCTTCTCCCTTTTTCTTCTTAAGTTCCTGGCATCACCCCATGCAATCGCTGCTGCTGGCTGTCTTAAAATAAGTACTCCCACTTGTTTTTAGCAGAAGAGCTCGCGAGATTAGACATACTGAAAGAGAGAAAAACGGAACCATCTAAAAGTCTGAGACTATCGCTGATTTTGCACTGGGAAAGCGGCTTCTTCGGTACTGAGAGGGTGTCTAGATAACCTTAAGTTTTCATCTAAATCTGATTTTTCTAGATTTCTCATGCCAAAAATACCAGAACATGGATATACCAGAACATCGGCTGTCATGGCCGATCTTCAGAGAAAAGCTCGGCTAGCTGGGAAGCTTCCAAGTACAGTAAGCCGCTTCCTTTGCTTTGGAACCCCGTTCGAGAGATTTCAAGGACTTGGCAAAGTGAAAAATCCTCTTCTAGCAGAGATTAAAGATTTTCGTTATCTAAAAACTCAAAACTCAGATGATACTGTAGATCACTGACACCTATCTTCATCATAGTCGATTTGATTCGTTTTGCTGGCTTCAGATTCCACGTGGGTTCTTTTGAAGATCCGTAAATCTATAAAGTTCCGGCATACAGATGGATGGCGCCGTTGGAATTCGACCAACTGATTTTTATTAATTTTATGTATCTGATTAGAGAGTCATGATAAGAATATAATTCCTTTCTGTCAGTTTGCTATAGAAGGACTACACCATTTGAGAAAAGCCAATTTTTATTTTATTTGCAATCTGTGTATCAGTGATTTTGGGATCTTGGACTGCCACCTAATTTTAGGTCGATCTCTTAACATTTAAGATTGCTAGGACCTTCTTCCATTCTCAACGATAGAGAATCTCAACCTCAATTTGATCCCTCTCTTTTTCTATAAAGAGTGACTGTCCCCATATGTGTTTTTCTGCGTCTTCTTGTGTCTCTTCTTGTGTTGGAAAATTTGTAATACCGGAACTGTGCGAAACACAAGAGATAGAGAGAATGAGAGAGGGAAAAGATTCATCTGCAGCTGCTGCTGCTGGGGAGGGGGCCTGTTGACCGTAGTCATGGTCATATATATATTTAGTCCTTTTTGGAATGTGGCGTTTAGAGAGGAATGGGAAGAAGAGGAGGAGGTGATGACGGACATGGGACCTTGGGTCTCGATCCTGTGAGGTTCTGGAATCTTCAAGTGCCTCAATTCTGTTGGATTCTGAAGATCTGGAATGGTTCCCCGAATTCAGAAGATCTTGAATCAGAATTTGAAATTGATCGCATTTGAAGGGAAGAGGGGAAGATAGGTAATACATTTTGAGTGCTATGATTTGCCACGAATCACTCCGTCTCTCCCTCTTCAAAAACCCAGAAAAATGACCCCGGGTTGACAGTGGTGTCAACTTGACACCTCCTCCTCGTCGATGCGGGGACGATAAGGGATAGGAGGTGTTCCAATAGCAGCTGTTAGATCGTCTAGTTCTGTCACGTACTACAAGCATCATTGGTTCATAAAATCGTAGAGAACTCATGAGTCTTGGGGCCTTGCAAACTCTAATTCCCTGAATTTTGAATTTCGAGTTCAAAACTTGGGAATTCATGGATTCCTACAGTAACTGACCAGTGAATAACTCGGCTTCAAAATGAGCTTCTCAGTCCGTTGTGGTATCAAATGATAGATCGTGAAGAGCTCAAAATTTTTGGTTCCATCGAAATTCGAATTGTC